GTGAGGCATTTTTGTCTAGCAAATTTTGATTTAACAAGAATAAAGTTACGCAAAAAGGAATGTCTTCAATATATGGAAAATGTTCTAGCAATAGGAAATATGCATTTAATTCAAATATCTATACAATCTTTATTGCTACAGAAAGCCACTTTCACCCTTATTTTGTACTTATGCGCTATAAAATCACGAGTACTATTGACAGCAAATAATCCAAACAGAATGAAATGGCAAAAATAGACACTTTCATTGAATGATGACACAAAATATAAAAAATGCATATTCCCTATTGAAATACCTGCCATTTTGTCAAGGACTGATAGTTTTGTTAAAATGCGAGTAAAATATTTGTTTGCTACTTTATTCAATGTTAAACATGCTAGACTATTACGTAGTACGAATTATCAACATTTCTTTTTACTACTAAAGAATAAAATACGATATTTAGTAAATGCTTTCACTAAATAATAACAATCTATCTTTTTTTCATTATTAATATACCGTTGGCGTTCTTATCTAACACATCCATAAGAAGCACTTATTAATCAGAGTATTAACTTTGAACGAGTCTATGGTACACAATCACTTTTTGCTACAATATACTGGCGCTTCTACGTTCCTACGAATTTCAAAAAGTCGCACCCTCTAAGATTAAATTTTATTTTTTATTTCTACAACTACGATCATTATTAGGGAAGTCATTTTACTTAGAGAAGACCCTCTGAGTTGACCATATAAAATGAATAAAAATCAAGTTCTGGTGTTGACATTCTTTGAACAGGTTAACGTCCTAAGCTGAAATTCGTAGTTATGGCACTGATGCATGAATATTATATTTCAGCGTAAAAGTTGCAGCTGAAAATGGAGATTTGGGGATTTATTAAATGGCATGGGGCGTTATGTGAAGCTCCTTTTGTATGCTTCATATTTATAAGGTTTGTTTTAACAAGCAGTTCCGAACTAGTTGGAACTAATTCCTAATTATTTATAAAGTCCTTTCACTGAAACAAAGCAGTTTCGTCATATTTAGTAAACCTGAATGCCAACCTTAATGCAAAATATATCATAAATTGGTACGTATAGTTCGAATTTGCCGGGTACATTTATGTTGGTAACAGTTTCCTATGTTGTGACATTGTCGCAAAGCTTGTCATGTAATTACGCCAACGGCTGTTGTTTATTTGTGGTTTATTTCCTAGGATCTAGTAGTTTTAAGTAATGTGGCAACCATGTGCGTCACTGGAATTGTTTGACGTTGTGACGTAACTGCTTAGATTCAGTGAATAGACTGTATGTGCTCATGCTCGAGGTCTTTTGCTTTTTGTAGGGCTAAAATAATAATGCTGCAGTATCAGAGGAGGGAATTGGAATGTTGACACGTAGGAGGCCTTTGTGGCCTTCTTGATTTTCATAGTTGTTCCCATCCTTCAGAAAGGCAGGGGCATTTCTAGATTTCTACTGTTTCGTGTGTATTGAGGTTATATTTTCTATTTGAATTCTAAGAAGTTGCAGGCTGATGAAACTTGATTTTTATCATCTGTTTGGGACGGAACAGTAGAAACCTAGGAATACCCCAGCCTTTCTGAAGATGAGAAAATACTACGGAAATCCAGGAGGCAATAAAGGCGACCTGCAATTGTAGATAGATACGACCCTAAGCTGCTAATTGACTTGAAATAAGATTGTTAGTACTACAACATGATTCAAATAGATTCATTGAAATAACAACACTTGCCTACGAAATTTTCATTTTTGGTTCTTGGAATCTCTATAATCAGCTGAAGATATTCATCCTCACTTGCAATCTTCATCATCACCAATTTTTTGCATATGTGCGATAAACAATCAGGGTTTAGGTTTGATATACGAGAGGATTGAAAACCCTCTTCGTGCTGTAACAAAGATCCCGAAACTTGACGCCTGAAGTACCGGTGGTGCTTTGACAGGGTTGCCATACTGAGGGGTTTCCCCAAATTTGGAGAATTTTTACTTGACGGATTTTTTTGACATAACGTAAAAAAGATATATTACACGTTTCGTCGATAGAAAGCATCTCCTTGCTCTATGTACCAAACCTACCTCTTTTAATCCATTAACTGTGAAACGTAAAAGTATCAATTCTTAGGGATTTTTGTGCTTGTTTTGGGGAAATTCTATGCTATGCTTTAATGTGTCACGTCCCGTTTTTAGATTTTTTTTCAACTTTTTCTTTGCAGCAGTATTCTAAATCCTTTTCATCTGATAATTTCATGGTGTGTATAGAGATGACTAAAAACCAATCTTTTCATTTTTTTGTCAAAAAATGCATTTTTATGCATTTTATTGTGCATTTTTATCTTCAACTGGAACTTGTTAACAAAGATAAGTACAGCTTTGAAATTGTGTATGAATATTCCTCTTCTATGGAGGAATGAAACGTGTGATTACTTTTCGAAAAATCTTTGGTTTTCTTGAAGCCTCGTCTCGCATCAAGATGAGTTTTCAAGAAAATCAAAGATTTTTCGAAAAGGAAAAGTTATAATAACAAAAGTAGTCACTCGTTTCATTCTTCCATAAAAGAAGAATATTCACACACAATTTCTGAGCTGTACTTCAATTTGTTAACAAGTTCCGACTGAAGAAAAAATGCATAATAAAATGCACAAAACTGCATTTTTTCACAAAAAAATGAAAACATTGTTTTTTAGTCATCTCTATATACAACATGAAATTATCAGATGGAAAGGATTTAGAATACTGCTGCAAATATTAAGTTGAAAAATAATCTAAAAAAGGGACGTGGCACCTTGAGTACTGATAAGAAGCTTCTAAATGAAGTATCACATGACCCCCATTCCATTTGAGAAAATACTTTAAAATGAGGCCCAGCAGCCATCTTGACATTTTCAACTGTCACTTTTAAGCTAGATATAGAAATAAGGCATCAATTTCATTATCCAGAATCTCAGCTTGCTAACTTGTTCTGTTCAAATAAGTCTAGGAGACCTTTTTGAAAAACACTGTATAAAAAAGGTGCTGTTACCTTCATTTTGAAAGTAAAACAAATCAGAAAGTCTTCCCTTAACGATTTTTGATGAGCTCACAAGAAACCTAGTATATCCTTCAATAAATACAGTTTACCGAAAAATTTATATAGTAAAAACTACGAAAGAGGACGTAACAAGCTAATAAATATAAAATATACCGATGAATTTCTTGCAACTCATCTAGAATAATCTCACTGTATGTTCTAAAAAGTCAGCTGATTAAAAAAAAGAACCGACTACTTTGGGAAGGTAAGATTGACTGGGAGATACTGACTAGCATGCGCAAATTGTTAACGTTTACATCAAAGTGTTATAATCAATAAAAATTATTGGCTGTATGTAAAAAGGTTATTTTACATGTTGAGATGCTCTAACAAATTTATAGATGGCCCACTAGCGAGGGTGTTTATTTTAATACGTTACTCCCAACAGCCTTACTTAATAATCTCAATAAGGAAACCATTTAAATGCTACGTATATTTTCGTACAATATCTGAGAAAATTAGAGCATATATTATTGCAAATTGCGATTTGTAATGATGTAGTAGAAAATCAAAAAATAATACTTGATCGACAAAATTTGGATTTGTAAATATATCTTCAAACATTTAAACTTGTATTAGATAAAGCTTTTTGCATAAAAAACAAATATTAGATTGTTGAATATGTTGTGGAGGACCAGACTTATGGTATGCTTTATTTCTGTATTCAAAAAGTCCAGTGTAGAATCGGTTAATTGCTGGACTACTAAAAAAAGACGATATTGTGTTAAAAATGTCAACTTTTTGAACATTTGCCCCATGATCAAAAATAAAGGAACTTGAAATTCAATGATTCCAAGGCTTCTAAAATTCACGCAAAATCAGACTAAATTGGCAACCATAATGTTCACGTATATATGCTTATTCCTTACCCATAACATATTAAAGTTGAATTTGTTCCGCCATTTCTCATTTTTCACTATTTGCGATTTGCGATATTGTAAAAGGTTCAACAATAACCACGAATCATTTGTTCTAAACTGTTATCAACTAGACGTCAATATGCAACATGAAATATGCTCTAATTTCCTACTGAAACTTCACGTCCGCCAACGCTTTGTTGATCATCGTCTACGCCTACTAGAAACTGCATCTCCTATAATGGTGAGATGACAAGCTGCTGTTGGTAGGCGGAGCCTCCATGCCTCAACCATCGGTGTGGGCGGTCTCGGAGGAGGAGCTCTAATGATCATCGGCCAACCACAGCGGCCTGTCATCCACGCCTCCTAGAAATCGCATCTCCTCCCAGGGTGAGGTGGCGACGTGCTGTAGCTGGTAGGCGGAGCCATCCTTCAACCTGCCATATTAGTACAATCATTTGGTGCTCAAAAAGGGGGCTGGCTGGAAGGTATCGGGGGAGTTTTAAGAAGTTGAAATAAGACACTGTTAACAGTCGTTTATGGTCGGATGAACAAAAGCTGTATTTTTTTCCACCCTGAGACACTTTTCGATATTATCTAACTTCTGGCTTTCAGAAAGTCTCTTAATCTAATTTGAACTATATTTCTATTATTTTTGTTATAACAGTAATTAAACTTATGAGTCTATAATTTTCTGGTAAATCAGTTGGACACCTCTTTTATAAATAGGAATAACTATTGATGTTTTCATGTGTTAAGAGAAATAGTTTGTGCGCGCATCAAGAGCATCAAGTGAAAGATTAGCTGTAATACTATAATGCAGAAGAAATCCCAGGTATATACTATAACTATTTTGTTAGTATTATTGCGCCACTACAAACCTTCTGTATTTATGCTGGGGCTAGGCTCCATACACATAGTGGGCGTTCCTAGGGGCAGGTGCAGGGGGCGGCGGTGGCGGCGTGGGTGACGGTGACGAACTTGGCGGTGACGGCGATGAAGAAGAGCCTGAAGAGGTCGTGACGCGAGAGGAGGAGACGGTACCGGTACCACCATCTCTGCCGCCACCGCTGCCGTTATCTCACAAGTACACCTTCTTGACGCTGCGTAAGGTGGCGAAGTTGTCGCCGCCTCCCATTGACGGCGGGTTGCCGCCGCCCATTGGCCGCCGGTAGGTGTCGCCGCCTTGCAGGAGTTGCTGTAAAAAATGATGTCAAGTAGGTTGACTCTACATCACTTCCTTCGCGACGCTGTCATCAATTCATAAATGACTGTATTCGGCACAGGGTAGAAAAAAGTCGGTTATACAGGGTGTTTCAGTTTATTGTTGCATAACTTTAAGATTCGATAGAACTTTTAAAATTAATGCATAAAGTCTATATAAACATGGGTCGAAAAATGCGTAGCTTCCGAAATGTAGGGTGTTTAAATTTACTTTCTAAAATAGTTTTTTTTTAAATATTTCGAACAATATTTGATGTACAACAGTGAAAATTGGTATACAAGGGTTTTTTGGTACGACAAAACGAACCATGGGCATAGTTTTACTGTGGCCGCTAGAGGGCGCTCTCTACTGTACCTGTAGTGTATTAAAATGACCGAAAAAATTTTCTTAGTGCAATTTTTTGCTTTTTTCAACATAAAAAAGCTCTCCTGTGAGTTTTTGTTATAGTTAGCCGTTTTTGAGATATTTCGATTTTTAAGGTCGATGCATTTTTAATTAATCATGGGAAAATAATATTTTTTTTACATTTTCGATTTGGGCATTAAAAGTAATTAAGATGATCATTTAGATTGTGTTTTTAAACACAGCAATAATTCCTAACACCAAATAAACACAAAAACAGTATATTGATTTGTTTAATTTTCCAATATTATTTTTAACAAATTAAATTAATTATTTACAACTAAAATGCTATTGGATAGTTAGGACAAACATACAAAAAAGTAAAAAAAGTAGTTGCTCGAAATGTAAACCCAATTGTTCAATACACAATTCACATCTACGAATGATCGAACGTGGTATAGCATTATTCAAATAAGGCCTTATTTCATCACGTGCATTCCTGATTCTGTCTATTAGCATATCTCTTGTGGTTACGGGAGTCTGGTACACTTTTTTTTTAGAAATCCCCACACAAAGAAATCTAATGGATTTAGGTCAGGTTAAATTCATTTTGCACAATTGTTGCTACTTTTCTCAATGTTTTTGCAGCTCCTGATGATGATGGCAAAGACCATTGAAAGCTAGAGTGATTAAAAAAGAATAGAGTCCTCTTTGCTTAAATTTTGTCCAAGTACCCAACAAAAGGCGGAAGCTTTAATTTATATATATATATATACATTAAAGTATCATCAGCAAATAGTTGAATTTGTTTTTGTTGTAAAAGATCAGGAATATCGTTAATATATAAAATAACTAGTAATGGAGCTAATTTGCTATCCTGTGGCACACCTACCGAAATGTTTTTAATGTTTGATAATGTATTGCCAATTTTGTATTTTAAGTTCTACTTTGACCTGTGTATTAAGCACCAATAAAGAAATGAAATGAAATGATGGCGTGATTCCGAGTGTTTTTTTCGTATATTGATTCAAATAAACGGCACGTAATACTAACTGTGATAACTCCTGATGAATTACATCATGATAATAAAAAAAAGTGAGTAAAACTTGGCATTTGATCAAACTTAGCTGGTCCTAGCTCTTCTGGAACTGGATACGGTGAACTTTCGTCAAAACCTTTAGCTATAGTAGGGAACACAGTGTGTAAGAAATTGTGCCTACCTGATGCGACCTCAACGTGCCGAAATTATCCCTGCCGGTCCTGTAATCCCTGGAGTTGTTGTAACCACCGGCCGCGTCCGTTTGGAACTGGAAGAGCGTTTCCGCTGCCGACGTGGAGTTGTTCTGTTTGCGCAGCGTGCTTTTTGGAGAATGCAACTTCGGCGGAGGCTGTGGTACCAGAACGGGCTCCGCGTACGTGACTTCTTCCTGAGGGAGAAGTTTCGGCTCGGCAGCGATTCGACTGAAACCAAAGACATATTTTCACACGCAAAAAAATACAAAATATTCTATCATTGCATTATAATATTGACAACTGTATGAAAATATCATGCTTGTTTATGCACGGTGTCCCAAAATTCCGTGGACATAGGAGTTCTACGTAGAGTAGTAGAAAAAATGCTAAGTAAAGATGCGATAAAAGACTTTCTGGACAGACACCCTGATATCAGGACACCAAAATTGAAGCATTTTTAGATGAAAAGGTGAACATGGTTGAATGGTCCAAAAAAGCTGATTTAAATATATTACAAGTTGTACGTGGTGTACGGAATATGAAACTGCAGCTGACAGAAAAAAAATCTTCGCTTTCGTTCGTTGTCCTAAGGCATATAATAAATAGACGATTCCTAAACAACATGAAATGCTGCCATATATGACTGGATCCACAGATGGCAGAGCTAAATGCTTCAAAGCATCTCCAGCATTCTGCAATGAAAATCGCGATATTTGAACGACTTCGTAGCACATACCTGTTCATATTTTGCCGCTGTTCGAAGTACTCGTATTCCGTGTCGGGATATGGCAGGTTGTCATCCTCGTCCTTATGGCACTTCCTTCCACAAAGGTAGCCGGCGAAGAAACCCACAACGAGGGCTGACACGGAGCCCGCGACCACAGCCATGATAAGGGTTTCGACGGAGTATTGGGTTGGTAGGGCGTCTGCTGCAGTTACCGCAGGACCTGGAAAATGTTCAATGCTTAAGTTACATACATAAATTTTTAAGTGGTACTTTAAAAAAGGCTATATTGAGTGGCCGGAACATCAATATACGGCTTTTACAATATCAGCATGTGCCGAACTGTCAAGGTTAGAGAAACTATCCGATTTTTTTCAAAATATGTTGTACTGCTCTACATTCTACACCTATACACTGTGGTTTTTGGTGCGAATGCCAAGATTTTTGTAGACCTTCCATGGATGCGAATCAGAAATAGTCATATTTTTTAATAAGTCTGGAAATGCCATATATGTTTTGACTACATCATGGACATTAATGAACGCATTCATAATTTCGTATTTAACGTATTCAACATATGACGAACATTTTGTGACGCGCTGATAAATAAACTAGCTCTTACACAATTTCTGGCCATAGGGTATAAAATGGTTCAAGCTTCTGAAAACTTCTGTAGAATATTAAACTGTTTTCCTAATGTAGTCGCTGAATTTCATACCAACAACTATAAATAAATGAGGCTAGAATGTTTGTAAGAATATACTCTCTACTTTTTTTTATTAAAGTACAAAATTCAAATCATCCTAAATGTTTATATTGACGTTTCTGACAGATGACATTTCATGGTAGTACCAACTTCCGGTGGATGGCAATTGGTGTTGATACTCATACATCATATAACAGGCTACGAGCCCCATCTATGTAAGAATTTCAGAAACAATATCTATATCTATACAGGGTGACTTTGAAGTTGAGTCATTAATTTTCAGATAATGATTGTAGAAGGAAGATAAACCAAAATATGTGTGTAAAAATAAAAAAAAAATTAAAAAAAATTTTTTCCTTGTTTTATAAAGTATCCTCCCGACAAGTATTTCAGTGCGGACCTGTATTTGATCGTGAGGTCCCCTGTGAGGTCTTAAGTCACCTGATTCACGAGCCCGTTGTACTAGATTAACAAAGGCACGAGGGGTTGGTTGCACTCGATTGGGAAACCGATCCGCATAAACATGTGCCATTTTTTATTTCGTTTGAGCCACGCAACAGACACTATTCACACGCCTTACCGACTGACACTGACTGTATGTATAACTGAACTGAATAAAATAATTGTAAAAACATCGTTCCAAATTCTTTCGCTTTTTTGTTTCCGATGCGATGAACCGATAAGGCGGATTATATCCGTTGTTGCCAAACACGAGCACATGATATTATTATTGAGACAGGGCGGTACTCAAACTTCCAAAGGGCTATAACTTTGTTACTTTAATTTTACCAGAAAAATGGTAAAGGAAAAAAACATTTCTTTTGATCAGATCTACTCACTGTTAAAATAAATGACTCAACTTCGAAGTCACCCTGTATAGTAAACACGTAAATAGGTGCTCTAATGGAATCTTTTACATGAATCTTGAAATTGCAGCAACAACGCAGTGTCCACACACAATGAACTTTCAAGGCTAGCCCTACAATAATTGATGCTCTTTTATTAATAGCTGCGATTTCAATTATGTACCAATCTTGTAAGGTTAGGTTTGCCCTCCTTCTGCTAGGACCCTTTCATTTGGAAAAACGAGCTAAAGACTTACGCTCGGTATGTATAGAAGTCAGGTCAGGTGTCAATACATTTTTAAAAATTCTATAAATTTCTCTAAATCGTGACCGAACACAAGTAACACCTTGAGAGGAATCTAACTTTTCCTTTTCTCATTGGATCATATCAGTATTATCATCTCTCATAATTTACCGATAGAATTTCCCCATATATTTTATTCAATCAAAGCAGTTACGCCACAACGTCAAATCATGACAGTGACGCTCATGGTTGCCACATTGATTAAAATCACTAGATCATAGGATGTTTTACAAAATCCACTTTATGTCTTCAATGATTTACCGCAACCACCATTACGGAGCGTATGAACGTATGAGCTAGTATAAATTATATATTTACTACCTAATATCTCTCTTACGGACTGTAAAGGCAATAATGGAGTTCCATGATCTCTTTCGGTATCAAAATATTTCGTCAAACAAATGACGAATTCTTTTGCTTGTCGGCCCAGAGGTTTCGGCATTTTAGTAAAATGCTGAAAAGGACACCTCAAAATTTTGAAAGAAACTGTTTTTATAAAATAACAATGCAAATATTGAGGCAAAAAGAACGAAAATAAACAACAGCCTTTGGCGTAATTATTATACCTGACAAGCTTTGCGACAATGGCACAACGCAGAAAACTGTTACCATCATAAAGGTACCCGGGAAATTCAAACTATACGTACCAATTTAGGATATATTTTGCATTAAGGTTGGCATTCAAATTTACTAAATATGACGTAACTGCTTTGTTTCAGAGAATAAACTATAAACTGCTGCTATTACTCTGAAAATTCCAATGAAAGCTAATAGATATTTCTACTTAAGAATATTCCATATACTGGCATGGATGAATGTTGGGCTATAAAATTGTGTAAAAGCTTTTAGGTATAGTGTCGATATATATATATATATATACGAGTATATATATATATATATCACCTTACAGGTACCGTAGTTTAGGATACCAAATTATAAAAAACTGCTCAAACTCAATTGCTTCGATGTTTCCCTGACCAATGGCAAAGAATAAACACCTGACTTTACGGAAATATATATAAATTACTTACAAAATTGCATCACTACGTATTTAAATGATCTGTATTCAAAATTCTACAAAAAAAGTTTAATCGACCGAAGTCAAAAAACCAAAATTGGATCTATATTATCAAAATCAAAAAATATTTCTGTTGGTATACCACAAGGTAGTAAACTAGGTCCACTACTATTTATTTTATACATTAATGACATTTGAAATATTTTAGATTACTGTAAACTTCAGATACTTGCAGATGATACATTAATATACATATCAGATGAAAATATAGACACTGCTTTAAAAATGCTAAATTCTGACTTGGCAAAAATCGTAAATTGGTTAAATGTAAATAAACTAAAATTGAATACTTCTAAAACAAAATGTATGCTAATAGGGAAATACCTAAACGAAGATACTATCGCAGTTAGGATAAATGGAGAAATAATTGAAAATGTTGAATCGTTTAAATATTTAGGTATATATATATTGATAATAAACTAAAGTTCGAGGATCACTATGAATACATTATCTAAAAAATTGCCAAAAAACCAAATTACTTTGATAGGGCTTCTCAAAGTCTTGGTACCTATTCCAAGAAAACAGTCTATAATACAATTATTCTACCGTATATACTACTCGAATGTTGTTCAACTATCTTGTTCACTGCCAATGAAGCTGTATTCTCAAAATTACAAGACTTGCAAAATAAAGCTATGAGAATAATATTGAATGAAAATAAGTACACCAAAATAAAATCTATGTTACAAGAATTGCAGTGGTTGAATATAAAAAATTTCATATCATATTTGGTTCTTATTTTTATATTTAAAATAAAAAATCATCTTTTGCCAGAAAATTTAGAACACTACATAGAATTGAATAATCATTACCCCAATTATTATACAAGAGGAAATATAGATTCTCATTTACAAAATTGCAATAGTAGTATAACTAGCAAATCTAAACTAAATAACTAAACTAAATAATGATATAAGGTCTACTTGTGATTTGAAGATATTTAAAAGAAAATTAAAGGAATGGATGGATGGAATGGACAATGAAAATTGTTAGAGATGCAAATTTAGTTTTTTTTTCTGAATGTTATGTAATTGTTTCGTTTTTTTATAAAAATGTAATTGTAGCAATCATGCTAAATAAATCTTAAACAACAAACAACAAATAACTATCTGCAAGGTTTTTTATCGTTTAACCTGAATATCCACGTGACAATATTGTACTGAAGGCACTGTTACACTTATATTTCCTACATTCAAATTCAAATTCAAATTCAAATAATTTATTCAAATAATTATTACATTGACAGGCTCTAGGAATGTTAGACGAGGATACGATGAATTTTAAAATTTGTGTGTATCCCCGAATAACATTTAACATTTAATTTCCTTATCAAAAACTACAACAATAGAAAAAGCTACACTACAAAATAAATGATATATACGCACTATCTAATGTAGTAAAGCTATATATTACACATGTAGCAGCGCAGATACAGGTATTCGTTTACTCAGAGAACCATACTATTTTTTTTGTAATAAGTATATAATTAGTTTTTACCCAGTACCTAATTTTGTTTTTAATTTTGTCACTACCTTTTCAATAAACTTGTTTTTATTAAAATAAAACATTAACCTAAACGTTCTATACAAACCTCCAGCATCGTACGGCTTATCATGCACGATATTGATAACCTGCCCCCCGGCAGTGTCTTGCTGCTCCCCGATGCCCATCGCATCCACATCTAGCATGAGCCTGTGTTCCCCTCTTTGGCCCCTTTGACCTAAGCCGGCCCCCGAAAGCGAGCTGAGACCCCCGGGGCTTCCGGCGTCCCTTGCGTCCAGTTGGGAGGGTCTCCCAGGCATCGGGGGGCACGCGGTGTGCTCCCCTTTGGCCACGCTCTGGAAAAAGTGGGATTCGTCGCCCCATCGGCCGCCCATCGCGCTCCGGCAACGACCTTGGACTTTGTCCCAGGCGCAGTAGGGATCTTGCAGGGCCACGCATTCGCTGAAAATATAGAATTTTATCAAATATTTACGTTGAAAAATTGGAACGTTTTCAGAAGCAACCACTGCATTTTAAAACTCGTCTAAAAAAGATCATACCTGCAGCTAGATATCTTATTGCTATCACAGCGATGCACCCTCAACGATTGCACTTCAGAGTCCGATACAACAATGATCCTAGTTTCTCCTCCCTTCTCGCCCTTGGTTCCTCTTTCCACTTTCAGGTTCCTCACAGGAACGTGAGAAGGAAACACCTGGATCTCTTCTATGACCACCGTGCGGACACCGTACCTTTGGTCCGCTGATAAGCCGTTCACTGCCTTGATAACTTTTCCGTTATCTACAAAAAAATATGTTATATTTGAGTCGTTATCATCGCTCATTATAGCGAGAAATCCAAATATCACAGACGAGGTAATGTGTACAAGGGAAAAGCGTGCAGCTGCGTCCGAGGCTTGCTAGGCAACGTGGTGCTTCTATCTCTTTCTAACGTACGTATTGCATGTTTCTCTAGGTTATGTTAAAGCAGGTTAGGTTGTTTTCGAATAATACTTTGGTCTTTGGTGTTCCTGTTTCAAGGTATTCTACTCATAACTTTTTTTTAAAAACAAAAACTCCCCACTAAAATTATTATTAAGGTATCACTCAAAACCATGAAATAAAATGAAAATAAAAATAATCAGTGAAATAACCTAACTTCGCAAAATCATAATATAAATTTGTTGTCATTATGTTCATGACATCATGATTTTATCATCGACGTATACTTTATCTGAAGTCACTTGAAATAGCATAAAAACCTTTGGTCGGCGCGTCCTTTGTAATTTCATGACGTATCATAGGCGTGCGGTCATTTATTTAGAACGATAATAATAATGTTTGTATATCACAATAAATGGATTTTAAGGAGTTTAATTTATGTTGACTGAAAGTTAAGAAATGGAAAAATTACAAAATTCCAACGTTTGACATATGTATATAGGCAAATATTTACATAGCAGGTAGGTATATAAAAAGGTATATAAAGACTTACATTATAGGTATTTATATATCATCCTCGCCTTCGGAGCTGTCGCTAGAGTCATCTTGTAGAGGAATTACAACGGGATTTACAGGAGGTAAAACACAATATTCATTTTCTTTTTCAATAATATGCCTAGAACACTGCTTCCATAGGTCTGTGGCAGCAATATGAGATACTGCATCTCTTATTGTGGCCAATAGCGATTCACTTAATTGAGGGGTCTGATTATGTTTTCATACTTTTTTTTAAAGCGCCCAGACCAACTCAATCGGGTTAAAAATGCAGTGATAGGGAGGTAGACGTAATACTTCATGGCCATTTTGCTGAAGCAGATAGTCAACAACATACTTTTTTTCAAATTTTTGTCTTTTAATAAGATCCAATAATATGGCTTTGGTTGATTTTTGTGGTATTTCCATTCCCTTATCCTACATAAAATCAATAATGTCTTGTTTTTTTGTGCCTGTATTCGGAATTTTGTTTTTCTGTCGGGAATGGTATGGCGCATTGTCCATAATAATCACTGAATTTGGGGAAATGTTTGGTATTAACTGCTGCTATATCCACTTTTCAAATAAGTCGGAGGTCATGTCCTCATGATAGTCGGCACATGATTCTTTGTTATTTTTGGCAGATAACAGCAAGGCATTAGGTATAAATCCATTTTCACTGCCAGCATGGAGAATAATGATTCGTTTTCCACGGTTGCATGGTGCATTTAAAATGCACTTGTTGCTGTCGTCAACCCAGCCGTACTGCACAACATCATGGGTATCATACCACGTTTCATCCAGGTAAATCAGATTTCTTTTCTGCTCTCTATAGATTTTAACTTTGTGCAAAAATTCTTGGCGCAATTCAACGATTCGAGACGACTCCATAATCACCATTCTTTTATCTAATTTTTTGTATTGAAAACCACACAGTTTTACAATACAGTGCAGTGAGTCTAAGCATTTGTAATTATAAAAATCTTCAGGATAATCTTTTAATTTATCCCGTATCATTTCCAACGTGGGCACCAAATTTTCTTTATAAAATCCGTATATTATACGACGAATATCTTCCTGAAAACCCACGTCTATTCTTTTTAATTTTTGCCCTATGCGCTTTCTGTGGAGGAATGGTTGACTACATCTCCCCTTTTTATAACCCGATAAATGGTAGACCGACTGATTTTTGTCAGGATACAAATTCTGTTTAAAATTTGATTTTGCGAGGAATCTGGAATACACGCTTTCTCATTGGCTATGTCTACGCATAGGCGTGCTTTACTTCACGTGGACCGGTGAAACTGAATTTGATCTTATACGGGGGATATTTGCTGCGAAATTTGGCGATTTTTGCAGCAACAGAGCGTGTTAAATATAGATATATAAAACGCACCCGGTATTTCACAGTGTTTCAAGTGACTTCAGATAAAGTATATACGTCCATTGATTACTTCGGTACAATTTATGATATGACGTAATAGTCATATTTCGTGAGTTTGACTATATAGTTTTGAGTGATACCTTAATAATAATTTTAGTGGGGAGTTTTTGTTTTGAAAAAAACAGTTATGAGTAAAATACCTTAAGACCAAGGACCAAAGTATTATTCGAAAACAACCTAACCTGCTTTAACATAACCTAACTATTCTTCTTTCAAATATGATCGATCATACAACATGAAAACATCGCCTATCTGTGTCGTATACATGCAAATTATCAATACAGTTTGTTTAGACAATAAAATTCTGTTTGTCTCTATCTAACATATCTGAAACTTCATTAAAAATATTCCTACAAATCGCTGTCGTTAGTCTTTGCTACAGACTAAAATGATGACGTAATCGTCATCTTTCGTGATTTCGACTATATGTGTATAATGGCACACTGCTCCGTCATTGTATGTATTGTAAATGGGACTTCCTCAAAATGAGGGATATGCTTTTCGCGCGTGGGGTATGTTTGGAAATTTACAAAAACAAAATGGCGATTTTAATTAAAAAAATCTAATTTGAACGGGTTGAATGCTACGTTGAACCTCAAACGGCTTGATGGATTTTAACGTATGAGGTGTCTCTAGGTTTCCCTTGACTGCAGCATTGAATCTTCATTTTTTTATGAGCTTTTATTAGCTTGACCTGTATGTAAGTTGTGACGCAGAACGTGGAAGAAGAAAATGCTGAGGAAAGCATCCAAGCTTGAGGTGATAAATAGAGGTTCTTCATGCTTGCCGAAGATTTCTCGTTAGTTCGTCGTATTGTACATTTTATCCATTGTAAAATATTTCAAGCTATATTTGTAGTCAGTCTTGTAAAATAAAAATAAATTTTTTTAAAAACCTAAACGGCCATTTCGGCAACATATCTTATATGTAACGGAAATCTTGGAAAATTTGAACATTTTTAAAAAAATTGAATTTATAAATAAAAAAAAAAATGGTTTTGGAAATTTGGAATATAATTGGACCCATTAAAAATTTGTAAAATAATTTAATGATATAGAATTTTTTTAAATATATGAAATTCTGAAAAAAAATGAATTGGAATAATCAAAAATTTGGAAGCAAATTTCTATTTAATGTCAAATATAAAATATACAAAAAATCGAAGCTCCTTATTATAAGTACGTTTGTTGTCTTAAACAATAAAAAAGCAAGCCATAATAGTAAATCTAATAGTTTTCAAGAATTAATTTGGAATAAGATGAATATAAAAATTAAGATATTAAAAAAATTCAATTACAGTAAAAACGCGTGGGGCACAATTAACTATATTTCCATAAAACTTGTAAATAGGAACTAAAAAAATAATTAAGCATTAATGACGTACACGTGACGCCATAAGTACGCCTTGGAAATATTCAAAGATTTTGTCAAACTGTTTCTATTAATATGATTTTGCACTGTTTTAAAAAAAGTCATTTTCTATTCTGGTTATTTGGTATTGTAACTTACCAGTTCCAATGAACAGCACGTCATAGGCTTTACCTCCTGGTACTTTCACTTGAGGATCTACTGCTATTTGGGTGAAGCGGTAACTGAAAAAAAAAATATTTATTAGTTTCTGCGTTTCTGCTTGTGTATTCTTAAAATAGTCTTTGTAAGTGGTAGACAGTTTTCCATTGACTGAGGTGGTACTACCGAATTTCAACGTGTGTAGTCTAGAAGTATTAGTATAAAAAATTAGTACTTATCAATACTTACTGAAAACTAGCCCTAACAACGATAGGCTGTCCAAAAAAGCTGGGGACACTTTCATCCATCAGCGAGTGAGTTTTTATGAAATTGAGCGTCAGATCTGGAAGTGTTCGGCTGTCGTTATGGCACTGGCCCGGCCGTGGATCAGGCACCTGAAATTATTATCGAATGAAAAAATAGACAAATTTTTTTGGGCTACCTACTGAGTAACCTTGCCACTAGATACACGAAAGAGACTTTCTCCATTACACCAAAGCTCTACAACATGTTTATTGTCATGTACCAGCACAAATGCCAGAAATTTGTTTTCATGGAGGTTTAAATAATTATCGACCCCATTGCGTCTCAGAAAATACTGCTCAAAAACAAAAAAGACCAAAGAGAACAATCTATATAATGGCGACCTTAGACATGACCTTGAAAATAATGACGGCCTTGTATATTACCTTGAAAACACCTCCAAGGTCATTTAGGGGTCAAATGGAAAAAATAAAAATAGAACCGTATCATTTTGACTCCATCGATCGAAACAGCGGAAAACTTTACGTCCTGAAATGTCATTGTCTTTGACCAGGACTTCAAAACGACTAGAGGTTAACTCAAATCAAGTTCAAGGTCACAAATATAAACATTTCCGTTATTTCCACTTGCATTCAATAAACTGCTGTTCCTTTTAAATTTTTATTTTCACCCCTAAATTACCTTCAAGGTCAAAGTCAGGGTCACAGCCAAGGTTATATTCTGTGGGTCAAAAACATACCGTTTATCGTTATCAAACTTAAATTTTGATCTACTGTCAAGGTCATGGTAAAGGTCATTTCTGGGCGTACAAGTTTTAGCCCTCTTCGTCGGTGAGGTCAAAAAGATACGATAGTAACGATTAAGTTCGCTATTGTTCTCTCATAATCCTGCAACATTATTTTGATTATTTTGTTTGTTTTGAGTTTTCTCAGATTGCGGTTCCGATTAAATTTTGATTTTTTGGTATAGCTGCAACACTTAAAATGGTTGCGAGATATGCCCTATATTCTGGAAGCCATCCTATATTATTCACATAAATAATATATTTCTGTTGCTCTATATGCATCAAAATGCAATATACTGTTACAATCATAATAACCTGGTACGTATTGACAATTCTCTTTTATTTCGTATATAACAGTCATTCAATATCCCTGGAATTATTTTCAATTTGTTGGGCAGGAAATTGTCTAAACAAAGTTTAAATCCGTCTGTTTGAGATATACGTCTGGCTATGAATTTATGTGCGGTGCTGGAACAAATAATTACATCCCCTGAAAAAACATATTTCCATATCCCTGTATTCGTCTACAGTTTATTGACTAATAAAAAATATCCTGCTGATAAACGTCGCGTAGGCGGAACGTAAAATATTACAGGATGCTAGCGAATCTAGATTAAAAAAAAAACTGGTCAGTTACAATGGCGATACGCTTACCAATAAACAAGTACTAGGGTTAAAAAAAGGAAAGTTGGCCGCTAGACTCCAGTGGCGTAGCTTGGCAGTTTTGAAATGAAATGTGAAGCTTGGTCGATATTCGATATTTTTTATTTATAAACGGATACATTACACAGTTGGCTATCAGAAGGGGCAATCTGGAAGTATCGGACGCAGGTTAAGTTGGAGGTCACTTCTAATAGCGTTTTTTGTTTGGTGAAACTAGTGTTGCATTGGTGCATATCTTATGTTCTTTAAAAAAACAGTTTACACAGGGTGTGGTGTAAAGAGTGGATAACCTTAAGCTGCAGTCAGAGGACAAAACGATTCAAAAAATTGAAAATTATGTCTAGTAAAAGTTAAACGGTTTTAAATTTTTGTGACGTTTTTCAAATTTGGAGGAAATGGGCACCTTGACTCACTGTTTCAAGTCTCGTGATCACACTTGAAGGGTTTTCTCATTCTTTTTCCAACATTGTATTAATAATTAAATTGCCATTTTCGTGCTACAGGTTTAATTGCTTTTTTAAAAAAATAATTAAAACTTGGAAAAAAATGTTTTTTTTCTCTTAAGTTTGACCACGTGTGGTGTCAAAAATATTGCGCTAACCTAGTGAAACAAGAGGTGCATAATTTGCCCAATTCATTGAGATTGTATTTCTTGCTGTCAATTCAAAGGATAGGCACATTGAGATAGCTGAGACGCCTACTTTTAGAAAGAAAAGTTTTACTCAAGTCCACTGTTATTGTTAATTCAGCACAGAATCGGGCATAACAAAAGAACGTAAACGAAAGGATCACAAAAGATTCAAATTTATTACAACGCCTACAAAACGTATTAGTAATGTTGCAGTTTAAATCTATCAGATGGATAAGAATTTAACACAAGATACTAACTAACTTTATGAAGTTGGAATTCATTAAAATAAGAAAATAGAACATAGAATGAATTAGGCAAATTATTCACGTCTTGTTTCACTAGATTACCGCGATATTATACACCACACGTGATCAAACTTAAGACGAAAAAAATCTTTTTTTCCGAGTTTTAACGATTTTTTAAAATAGCAATTAAGCCTGTAGCACGGAAATGGTAATTTATATTTAATGACACATGTATCCAAGAATACTTATGTTGAAAAAAGAAAGAGAAAAAACCTTCATGTGTTATCACGAGACTTACAGTGAGTGAAGCAATCAATTTCCGGCAAATTTGAAATACGTCAAAAAACTCGAATCGTGCAACTTTTACTAGACACAATTTTAAATTTTCTGAATCCTGTCCTCTAACTGCAGGTTAAAGGTTATCCACTCTTTATGCCACACCCTGTATATGCATGTTTTTTATACCATACTTTTACAGTCTGTTTTCCATGGGTTTTCTCTTATTTTCCTTGAACATTGACCGTACCAGCATAAAAGGAGAAAAACATGCAAGAATATTTTTTACTGACACATGAGCACGATACATGAAATGACAGATGCCTTGGAGGCAAATTTAGGATGAACTAGGGCAGAGTGTTTTAAACAAGAAAACTGCACCACTATTATCAAAAGAAAACGCTACAACTTTATAAACGAGATAATGTATCGTGAAAAATAGGTTACTTCTCTAACAAATTTGTTTTTCTCATATATTTTTGACATTTTGACCTCCATCCACCCCAGCGCCGCCTGGTTTTTCTTATGATATGAAATGGTGACAAAGAAACGTCAATATAATTTATATTTGTTCAGCTACTACCTTGCTAGATGGAACTGGGAGCCAGTTAGCATTTATAGCGGCCTGTTCTTTAAAGTTGCCCTCAAAAGTGTCCGTGATATCCTGGAGACTGAACGCGCAAACTGCGCTTCCAGAAATGCTGTTCGGAGGCGTTGTGAAGGCACCATATACCAGTTGAGCACTAGTATCGCCATATTTGCCGTCGATTAATTCTGTCGTAGACTCTGTTATAGAAAAAATAATAATGTAGTAGTTTAAATCAGACATTCATTAGACAGTTATATTAATTACTAATAATATAATACAATACTTACGAATCTCGTTGAAGGCAAAGGGGAATTCGCCTGTAACTGAACAATTCAGCCTGGATTTCAGGAAGGAAGTCCAGCGGTTCCTGAATCTATGAGGTCCTCCTCTATCGTTCTTGCATACTCTGGCTACTCGAGAGAAGACAGACTGCAAAATAGAAAAAAGCGTTTAGCTTCACGTTCAAGTAATTTCATGCCATTTGGAAGCGGTTTCTTGATTGGTAGCTGAGCATAGAAAGCACAGTGTTCCCGCAGTTATTTTCTTAGATCGGGAATTAGTATTTTTCTGCGAATACATATGAAATTGAGTGGGATTTGATAAAGTCATAGTGTTCAAGATAATTACCCAAAATTGTGAAGGTATTTTGTGGATTGCAAAGAACAGTTTAAGCTGAAAAAAGCAGATCTTTTTTTGGTAACTGTTAATGTGTTATAGACGGCGTTCTGAAAAGGCATATACCTCAGTATTGGGCTCTTAGTTCCTTCCACTCTTTGTTTATTTACGTGCTCAGTCACTCCAATCCAGGTTTGTTAACACCATTAACATAACATTGAAAAATGCAGAGTTCATCATAAGTACTAAAAAGGGGCAACTGGAACTTTAACTTTCAGTCTAATTTACTTTCAATTTCAATCTAAAAGCTTCCAGGGAATGTCTTTACTTTCGCGTTATAAATAGTAATTTTACGTTTTCTCAGTTTAGTGCCACAAGATTTTGTTGACAAAGCTCAGCACGTCTTCAAAAATCTATGAATATCAAATTAATTAAATCGCTTCCAAATCCTTTTATTAGATCAGTATTAGGAAAGAATTTAATCTGATCACAACTATTTAGAAAAATCGAGTTTTCTTAAATTTTACCTGACAAAATATAAATATATATATATATACTCGCAAAATATTGGCCATTATACAGGGTGTCCCAATTTCGACCTACATATCAAAGTTTTTCAAATGGAATGCGTCAAATTTTATTGCATATTTAGATAAACCAATTCAAAAGAAGAAAATTGATATGACATACTATGGGGTCTTGGTAATTAGCTACTAAAAGACGAGGTGCGTAAGTTTTTTGTGATACAAAATTCACCATTCCAAATTTCAAAATGTCGGATTGACGGGTTGCCGAAGCGGACGGTTTTTCTGGACAAAACATCTTACATCTCAGTAGCTAATCACCAAAACTCCATAGTATGTTATATCAATCTTCTTCTTTTGAATTGGTCTATCCAAATATGCAATAAAATTTGAGACATTGTAGGTCAAAATTGGGACACCCTGTATAATTGCCAGTCTTTTAAAAATGTGCCCTCAAATGCCACGTATAACATGCCATATATATATACAGCACGAACAATTTGATGCAAATAGATATTTGTGACATAACCTCAAAGTAAAGCGCTGACACGGAACAGTAGAAAACTATGAAAATCAAGGAGGCCATAAAGGCGTCCTACAATTGTAGGAACGATTGACGATACGGCCCTAATAAAACTTACTTATTACTTTCTGACCTATGGAAATGAAAGTCGTAATTTTGAAGACACCCTGGATAGATGGCCTTGTCGACCAGAGCATCATCAGATATAAAAGATAAATCGGTGTGGCGGGGATGGCAGTAGAGCAGTCTAGCAGAGGCTGTGAGGCACTTACCTTTCCGCAATTGATGTATTCGACAGCGGTCTCCCTGAAGAAGAAATAGACGAAGTCCCCCTGGGTCATGGAGCCGACAAAGTCTGGGGCTGGAACGCACACAAAGAATAGAAAATATTAATCAAAGGAACAAAGAAAATCGGGAACGGAGACGGGAAAAGAAGAGGAACGAGGGATAAGGAGTAGGGGGGGAGGGGGGTGGAATAAATTGCTGCGGTGTCATGCGGTCGACAGGGACTAGATCGATCCATATCAGATACTTTTTGCAGTACTTAGGGATGAAGGCATTATCTACATCGACTTAAAAATACGTGTCCCAAAATTCAGATGAAATTTTGATAAAATAGATAAACATTTTTTATTTAGAATATTTCTTTGTTGAATCATGAAGTTCACATAGTAGGGTTACGCATGGAATCCACCTCCGATTTACTGGCACATACACACCTGTTGCTAAAAACATTCCATAACCATTTTGTACGAATCGTAGGATTTTTTCCTTCAATATACGATGACCTGTGGCTTCTTTCTGACGAAATTGAACAACACCATTGACTAACGTATTCTACCTGACCGTAGCCAATCATATACCGTTTCCCGACGCCTAACAACGGGTTTAAAATATACTAGCGCCATCTATAAAGAAGTATCAGAACGCAAAATTAATATAGAGATCTGCTTTGGAAAACGTTAGGTGTTTGGTTCTCCTACTTCATCATATATGGCGCTATGGTATTCGTCCCTCTTTTAATTTGGTATCTTCAGATGTGATGAGTTAACCAGTGCTTGAGTATATCAAATCAAAATAAGGACTAGAGAGGCCAAAACCAGATTTGAGATCCTGTCCTATGAGACAGTAGCAGAGTTAAACACTCTCTTTTCAAAGTAGATTTTAAACTGATGTTGATGTGTTGCTACTGCCATACAGATGGCGCTCCTATCTTCCATATTTCCATTTGTACGCCGGAATACAGTATATGGTTCAGTTTGAATACGTTAATCAATGATAATACTGATGTGGATAACGCGTGGTTTCAACAAAATGGAGCTACGTGTTTTACAGTCACAACAGAATTGCTGCATGAAACATGTCCTAGACATGTTCTCTTTAATTTCGGTGATCATGCAGAGTTGATTCTCTAGATCATTTCACGAAAACTTCATTATTCTCAAAATTTACGAGACGTCTTTTTGAAGAAATAGAACAATCTCCTGGCCGATAGCGTTTATAGCAAAATAGGCTAATCCCGTAGCTCCGCTCGTGTAGAAGCAGTGTAAAATATAAGTCATTCGTTTTGGAAATGAACATTTTTCCCCGTTTTTAATGCAACAAATTAATTTCAATGATTCGCTTTTATGTCCTCGACAGAAAGTAAGAAGTTTAGTTGAAAATTTATCCGAAATTGCCAAGGATATATGTGAACATAAAATTGTCCCGCATTTCGGGAATTAAAAACAGACGTTTGCCGATAAAAATTCATTTGATCTTCAGATGACCTTGATAGTCAAGGCCAAGAAGATACTTGCTCTTTTTGTTTCCGGTCGAAAAAGGAGCTTCATTTAAGAAAACTGTCTTGCTCTTCAAATAACCTTGAAGGTCATAGTCAAGGTTATTTGAAGTTACAAATTTGTTCCAAATTTCCATCTACGAGACATATTTTTCGAAATATTTTGATCTATCCATACTTTTTGAACACCCTGTATATTTTCGCAGATAAAACTATGCCTATAATCTTCCCCGGGTTTCAATCTGTAAGTAGAATGTATTTCTATACAGAAGAGAACAAAAAAGACGTATTTTTTCTTGATTGTTTTTTTTGACAATTTTTGTATTGTAGGAGAGTGAATGACATTCGGAATAATAGAGCGACTGAACCTGCTCTACAACTAGTGCTCTGTCCCGTGCGGAAATAGACTACTTACTTGATAAATCAATAGGGAAGATAAGGGGAGTAGTTCAAAGGCTTTCAAAGTCAAATAGAAACTTTAATAGGAATATCCCTAACTGGGGCGCACATAAGCCTTATTAATCATTAGGTAGCTAGCACGGAAATTGAGTACTAACTTCCTTCTATTTTAAGAAACCTGCCACGCAGTATATCTAGCAGCCGTTTTAAAAGGTCAATGTGACAAACAGTTTATCGGGAAGCCAAAATTCATACAAAAGAAAGTTAGGACAGATTTTGTTTTTTGCCTATAACCGATTGTCATAAAATATAACGATAGAACATAATCATATCGCTCCCCTAATTCAATCAAAATCGGTGCAACAGTAACTGAGATTGCTTTCTGACCAAAATTCGGAAAGACACATAGACATACCAAATCAATGACATGTAGTTTCAGAAAATTCGTAAATCTCAACAGCTGAAGTATTTTTATTATGTAGCATAATAATGTAATTTCTTAAATATACTTCCAGATTCAATGCATGATAATAGAAAAACAATTTACAAAACGAATCAAAATCCCATCTTCGCACCCTTTTCGCGGCCCTTCACCACGCCCCTGGCTTAAAAACAAGTAACCAATAGCCGAATAAATACACCTCTCATATTCATTTGTTTTTACGAACGCGACCGACGCACCGTTTATTACCATTTCGTGCAAATTCGGACTGTAGGTCAGTTTCTTCTATCGCTTCGCCGGGTTGTCTCAATTTTCCAAGATCTCGCGTGGAAAAATGATTTCTAATATAGTAATTCGGATCGTTAATTGATTCAATATCGAACAGTAGTCGGTCGTGATTATTCAGAGTGCGTAGAGACAAGTGTTCGATGAAAATCTGGGAAACTGCGATGATCGTGTGGCCTGCAAGTACCGGTAAGTTTTTTGCATGTTTTTTTGCATGCAAATGTGATTTACAATGATCATGCGATGTGATTTGAATTGTGTTCCGGGTATTTGAGAATAATCTATCGTACAGTTATACCAAATGCAAAGATTGTGCTGAGAGTACTGAATATCGATTTTACAAAAAATGTTATAATTCGAATTTTACAAACCTTTGCTTCAACCAAACTATTGATGAATACTGATTTTCAAAGCAATACGCAACACGGCTGTATGTTATCAATATAAGGTTTATTTTGTGAAAATTGGTGGATTTTTACCGGAATAATAATATATTATATAAAAAATGATGCAAACATTTCAAAACATTTCCAAGTATCGTCAACGTATCTTTCGGTGTTGCCAAATCTACATTTTTTTTTAGATATTCTCTGAAAGTTAACAGTATAAGCAAATAAATTCCGATTATTTTTTTAAATCCATACATTAGCAAGTAGATATACAGTAATGGACAAAAGTATATAGACAAATTAATATTGTGCTGTATTTCTTTTTTAACTTGTTTTATTAATACACCAACCTCTATAGGTACATAATTCGTTATAGCATAATACTCACTTATACATAAATAAATTCATTAGACTCCTTTCAATAAAAAATTAATTGAAAAAACTGGAACTATGAATGACAAACATACAGGGTGACTTCGAAGTTGAGTCTTTTATTTTAACAGTGAGTAGATCTGATCAAAAGAAATGTTTTTTTCCTTTACCATTTTTCTGGTAAAATTAAAGTAACAAAGTTATAGCCCTTTGGAAGTTTGAGTACCGCCCTGTCTCAATAATAATATTATGTGCTCGTGTTTGGTTCATCGCATCGGAAACAAAAAAGCGAAAGAATTTGGAACGATGTTTTTACAATTATTTTAGTCAGTTGTATACAGTCAGTGTCAGTCGCGTTTGAATAGTGGTGTCTGTTGCGTGGCTCAAACGAAATAAAAAATGGCACATGTTTATGCGGATCGGTTTCCCAATCGAGTGCAACCAACCCCTCGTGCCTTTGTTAATGTAGTACAACGGGCTCGTGAATCAGGTGACTTAAGACCACACAGGGGACTGCATGCCGGTGCTCCAAGACCTCACGATCAAATACAGGTCCGCACTGAAATACTTGTCGGGAGGATACTTTATAAAACAAGGTAAAAAAATTTTTTTAATTTTTTTTTATTTTTACACACATATTTTGGTTTATCTTCCTTCTACAATCATTATCTGAAAATTAATGACTCAACTTCAAAGTCCTGTATATAGACAAAGCAATAAATACAATTATAGAAAAAAGCAGCAAAGTTCATGGGCTTATAGAAAACCAACCATGTTTGTGTTAATAGTTTGTAGTATAACTATTATTATCAATCACCGCCTGGCATCGTCTCGGCATAGATTGTAGAAGTTTCTTGATATAAGATTCATCAATTTGTCTTTACTTTTGCTCTAAAGCGGCAAACATTTCATCCTTGTTTGAATAATTTTTTTCTCGTACTTGCTTATCTAAGTATTCCCATAGATTTTCAATGGGGTTTATATCGGGAGACTGCGAAGGCCATTTGAGTACTGGTATTTTTTCATCCAGAAAGAATTTCTTTGCGAGATTTGAAGTGTGCTTGGGGTCATTATCTTGCTGGAAGATTAATCTTAAGTGCATATTGTTTTCCATATAGGGTAACATGACATGATTTAGTATGCCAGTGTATACAAACTTCCATAATGCCATCTATTCTATGTAAAGGTCCCATCCCAAACTGCTTTACGCTTCAGCTTCAGATTTTTGGCAATGTCGACTTGACGTTGACCATCTTTGTATAAGTCAAGGATCTTAGTTTTCACATCGAAAGAAATTTCTGGACCACGCGGCATGGTCTTAAGATCACTCAACTTATTCCACAATACTTGATGAACACAAATTAATCCTCTTCTGACACGAAACTCTACTAAACTAATGTTGAAAAGAATTTGTCTACATATTTTTGTCCCTCATAAAAAAGTGCTTATATTCAGACTGGTATTGTGTTCATTGCAGATAATGTAAAAACAAGGAATTTAGTTTTTCTACTAATAATGCATTTGTTTATGGAGCAGTGAAGTATGAATTCGTTTTCTAAAGGTATTTAGGTAAATATTCACATTTGGCTCTATACTTTTGTCCATTGCTGTACATAGGGAAGTCAGATATCAGGACTTTCGTGAATCAAGAGCATGCGTTTTTCTGCCTCCCGAATGAAAATTGTGAAAAAGGAGTAAATCCAAGAACTCGGACTCATTTTTCGTCAGTTCGTAACGTATAAAAATTTTAATTTTTCAGACAGATACATAAGTAAGCTTACCATTGAGACTCATGGAGTCGTACTGCTCTGTTTGTAGCGGTTCTCTATAAATGATGGGGTCCATTCCGCTGAAATCCGCTACGGTACCTGTATAAAGGTCTCCATCTGAAACAAAAATAAGATTTCTCAAAAACGAACCACACATATTTCAATTGTACAAAATATTGAGGCTCTGCACATCCTATTTTCCATCATAACGCAGCTATTTTTTTAGACTTACATGGTGTTCGAAAAATAGACGGAGATAGATAGGGTGATTCCTTGTTAAAAAATATAAAAAAAAGTTTCTATAAACATGGGTCCGGAAATGCAGAGTTTTCAATATACAGGGTGAATAATTTAAAAAAAATATTAATATCTTAAAAAATATTTACTTGATTCGGTGGCAATATTATTTGTTGTATTAAGAGGCTAATTTAGCCTCAAATAGATTAAAATTATTATGTAACGTGGCGTCCCGGGGGGCACCTCAGCGAATATTATTGGCAAAAAAATGTACACTACAGCCTTTTTTGTATTTTTAATATTTTTTGCTTGATTAAGCATCTAAAAATACATCTTCTTTGTCTCTTGTATTTTTTCGTTTCTCACTTCGTTTTCGAGAAAAAAAAACCGTTGCCTGTCACTGGATTAAATCGTTTATTAATTTATGCTAAAAAATCACAAATGCCTTGGAAAATAAAAACTTATTTCTTCATGAAGGTTTGACATTTGCGTGTCAGTTCAAATTTCAACATAATTTAGTAAATATTTTTGAATATGACAATATATTTTTTTAAATTTAATACCCTGTATATCTCAAAAACTTTTTTCATATTTTTTATCAAAGAATCACCCTTTAAAATATTTCCGTAGATAAGCAATTTAAGCATATCAAAGAAAGCGTTTACTGGAGACAAATGATTTGCATTTTACAAAAATATTCTCTCTTCAAACAAAATTAAATATTTTTTTCTGCATTTAATAAGTATGCTTTGAAGGAGCTACCATTTTTTTTCTCTAAACATCTTTTAAATTGTAATGCTCTTATATGTTTACAAATGAACAATTGGAGTACTGTAGCGTCTTTAGAAAATTATTTTTATTTTTATTTATTTTTATTTTTTTTTATTTTTTATTAATAATCTGAGAAATCGCCATTATTTACCGCATTCCTAAGGAGAAATTACATTTCTCCCCCTAGGGAAACAATGCAAAAATCCTTAGTTCCCTAGGTAAATAATGAATTTGTGTATTCATAAATAGAGCTTCTTTCCCTTGTTGGGTACATAACTGTCTCTACTACCAAGCCCTTTAATCATTTTTCAGTATTACTTAGAATTATTGTTTACTACAAAGTAATACTTGATAACTGAAGTTATTCTTGTTGGTTGTATTTCTTTATCCCATTGTTTTGACAGTCCCATACTACTTGATAAATGATAGTATTTGAAAATGAAACGAATGATGTGTCAGCATCTAGCTTTGTCGGATACTGACATGCGGCAGCAGTGTCTCTTACCTACGCTGGAGACATTTCGTGTGCTTTATTCAGGCAGTGTTGCCGGACAATCAGAAAAGTCTCAGGTATGCTATACTTATTTCAAAGTATAATCAAATCAAATATGGCAATATATGAAAGGATTGGGCAATTGTCTATTTCAAGAAATCAAAAGTTATGTGAGTTTTATATAAATTTATATGAGGAACAAATATTTGCTGTCAGCAGAATCAAAAAAGTATAACGCATTTTTGAAAATACCGTGGCTTGATGCCTTATTGAAAAAAGTGGTTTTCCGAGGCTAATTTAAAAATGGTTCATTCTGTAAATATATAATTTGTGTGTTCATTGTTGGACCTGAAACAGCACACTTGAATTAAATTTGACGGACTCCTTATCTACGTCAAAGTTCTTTTTCTTGACAGTTATGAAGCCAAATGCATAACAGTTCCGTTTTTCCATTAGGATTGTGTTAGATGCAATCTTGAAAAATTATGAATGTTCCCAGCGATTGAAGAAGGCTATGTTTGTTGAAAAACGTCATTAAGAAGCTATGGCGACATCTACCAGCGAATTGTAAAAAAATAACTTCGGACATAGGTACCTAAACCACGGGTGCTTTTAGACGGAAATGTGGTGTTTTATTCTAATGTTTTAGGTACCTTATGGCTCCAAACCTTTCATATAATAGTAGCAAAAAAATTGTATAAATATTTTGATGGAGGTGTATATCACCAAATATATAACAGATATAAATATGGTACGTAAGTAATGCACTATTATATACTTACCAACATATATGGCAGTTGAGTTGTGATATGGGTCGTATGGACATAGTGCTTGCCCAGGTTTTTCCTTCTCAACGGTGTAGTTCTTGTCGAAAATGTTGTACTCCCGACATTGTGGTTTGAACGCGTTGGTACCACAAGTCAGAAGTCTTCCTTGCGAGGTTTTTGTGAGGATCCTAATGTAGTTTTGGCAGTTTTCCTGAAATAAAAAAAATAATTTGTTATCCATAGTTATTGCAAAATTAGGTTAGCGATATAGAGTCTGGTTGAATTTTATTTTTTTTAATCTCTTCATATTTGGAATTATTAAAGGACGAGATTTATAAACTTTGACGTTCTGTACCACTGACGTAACGCTGAACTTGGATCAAGCGCTTGACGCTAACCTATTTATAAACAGAAATTCCTCAACGCTGACGCTAGACGATGTTTTAATTTTTTGCCGTTGCCGTTACCGATTCAACCAATGAAAGGGAGCCTACAAACCACGTGTTTGCTAACGCCAGATCGACTGGTTTTTCTCTCTGTGTGTGTTTGAACTCCAACTACATACTGTATTCCGGGGTCCGAGAGATACTAGCGCCATCTATGAGACAGTAGCAGTGTACCACAATGAATTTAGAAATCTATTTTGAACAGTTACCGTATTTAGTTCTGCTACTGTCTCACAGGTGGCGCTAGTACCTTGCAGACACTTTTTTGGACGTGTGTAGTTATAAACCAATAAGGTATTTTTATTCCCTACGCCACAGGGCAAGGAAGTTTTGCAATCACAAGAAATTTAGAAAATGAGATTTATGTGAAATTTTTTGTTGGGGTTGAAATTTGGGGGTTTTTGGGGGCCGGGAATGGTATATGATATTTTTTGATGTTAGTATATGAAGAATTCCGGGAGAAAAAAGATGAATTTCACAAAAAGTAAGTTTCGAGAAAGATAGACTCTTTATTACGAGGAATTTAAAAAAAAGTTAAATTATAAATAGTTTTTTTTATGTACAGGGTAGCCCAAACTTTAGAGCAGACCAAACTTTTTTTGAATGGAAAATCCTTTTTATTTTTATATTATATTTTGAGATTCTCCTTATGATTTGAAACATTTTTGACGTGATAGCGTTTATGCCTGAATGCACCTCTTTTGAGATATTGAGGTTAGAAATGAGACTTTCATCATATGCGACACCCTGTAAAATCTAAGGGTTGTTTAACCAGCAAAATGCCTAACATGAGAAAAAGGTGATTTTCTAACCTCAACAGCTGAAACACAGAATTCTTTCTAATTTTTTTTTTAATTGAGACAAGCAAAAAAGAATGAACAGCTATACAAATTTTTAAAATTGGTCCAGTGGCTGCAAAGCAACGGACTAAAAAACTAAAAAAACGGAAATCCCTTAAATTTCGTCTCTGATCATTTTCAGATTTTTTTGTAACACTTAAAACTTGCGGGCTAGTAGTTTTTGGGGGAAGACATCTATCCTTCAGCTCTCTGGGTTGACCTTCAGGCATGCCAGACTCGATGAGTATCCCTTCTGACGTGTAGTGTGGTCAGGTATGGTGTGACGTTTTTCATGACTCAAAGGTCCTTGATCTACCACTAAGCTTGGGGACAGCATTTACCTTATACCGAATTCAATGACACTATTTATCGTTTCCGTGTTTTTTTTGCCGGTTCGGCAACACCGCAGATGTGCAGACCACTTTAAAAGCAGTTGATATCCCAGACGTGTTATAATAATAGAAATAACAAGAAAATATAACAATGTTTGGATATATTTTCATAAATAGGTATTTTTGATTCTGACTTATAATATCTAGACGTTGAATAATAGGTGGATGCGGATACTTTTACAAATATCGATGTTTTAGGACCTAGAAATGCAGAATGTGCTGTTTGTTTACATTTGGTGTGGTTTTCTAGATCAAAAATTGGATACAATTGTTTTTGATGTAATAAAAGATGATGAACCAGTCGGAATACGTTTTATATTCTTTTTTCTGCCAAATTACAAAACTCGGTACATTTCTACAGGTACGTATTATGTACAACACCCTGTACGTGATATACAGACAAAACTAGATTGCCATGCATGAACAGTAGTCAAAAACAGTGAAAACATCCTACTAAATATATACTAAGTGACATATAAATCCGAACACCCAGTTTAAATGGTTTTATTTTAATAAAAGTTGGTGAATGTATTTATCTTACTGTAAATAACAAGTGAAAAAATGTTCAGCCTTATCAGTTGGACATTCCGGTTTTTATACTGCTTTTTTTAATTCACTAACGCTCTAAAAATGAGTATTTCAGCCGCAGTAAAGAATCAACGTTGGCGGATTTTGGTTCTTGACATCCTTTACGATCGGTTTCGATGCCTAGAGTACGGAGACCTGTACGATTTCGTCAACTTAGTGAGTTTGATAGGGGCCGTATAGTGGGACTTCGGGAAGCTGGACTTTCTTTTCGGGCAATTGCAGTTAGAGTGCAAAGAAGTGTAGACACTGTGGTTAGGTGTTGTCAGGCATGGCTTCGAGAAGGCCGTACGCAAAGAGCAAGGGGCACTGGACGCCGCCGTAGAACAACAGACCCTGAAGATCGCCGCCTAAGATTATTGGCCTTAAGGGACCGTTTCTCCACTACCAGGTCCATTCCAAATGAATGGTTTGCAGAACACGGAAGACTTATTGGCATGCGAAGTGTTTACCGACGAATGAGAAATTTTGGCTTGTTTTCATACCGGCCACACTGGGTCCTCCCTTTAACTCGAGAACACCGACGTAATCGCCTTGAGTGGTGCAGACAACGGTTACTCTTGGATCAGGAATGGAACAGTATTGTCTTTAGTGACAAGTCTCGATTTTGTTTAGGCATGCACGATGGTCGTGCCAGGGTTAGAAGGCGATGTGGTGAAAGGAGGAATCCACAGTTTTTTGTTGAAATACATGTTCATCACACTGTTGGAGTTATGGTTTGGGGTGCTATAGCTTATGGTTCCAAGTCACCTTTAATCTTCATCAGAGGTAACATGAACGCGCAGCGTTATATCCACGAAGTTCTAGAACCCATCTTTTACCCTATCTTGACACCCTGGCAGATCCAACTTTCCAACAAGATAATGCCCGACAACATGTTGCAAGAGTCACAATAGACTTCTTTCAACATAATGATGTCACATTGTTACCATGGCCACCAAGATCTCCCGACTTATCCCCAATTGAGCACATGTGGGATATGATGGGTAGGAGATTGCTCAATTTGCAACGTCCTCCTCAGACTCTAGAAGCACTTCGAGAGGAGTTGGTGGTTGCCTGGAATGAGATACCACAGGAGGACATTGACCACCTGATTAGAAGCATGCCTAGGCGCGTTGGAGAATGCGTAGCACATCAGGGTGCATCCACACATTATTAAGGGTCAAAGGGCTTTAAAGCAGTGCAATCATTTTGAAATTTTTTATCATTTACTTATTATGCTTCATTAAGTACTTATACAAAATTTTATTAAAATAAAACCATTTAAACTGGGTGTTCGGATTTATGTGTCACTTAGTATATTATTTCTCTCATTTTCATTGGTCTATTTAAATAACTGACCATCTTTTGTCAAATGATAAAGATTTGAAATGCTATGGAAGTTATCCTAATACTAAAGCAAAAAGAGATAATATTACATCTATAACGTAAGGCAACTGCTTTTTCACGACTTTATTCAATATTTCAATAGAAATCACTGATATTCAGAGAGTTTTGACAGCTTCCGACAAATTGCATTTCGATAAGGTCTTTTCCTATTGGTCCAACTGACCGTCAAATATTAATGTTGGTGAAATTGGCTCTTAGGCCAGCATTTTAATTTCCAACTTTTTTTCAAAGAAACAGTGGAAAAACGAAAATTTTTGGTGGAAAAATGTGGTAAAAAAAAGGACAATAGTATACTTTATCTGAAGTCACTTGAAACACTGTGAAATACCGGGTGCGTTTTATATATCTATATTTAACACGCTCTGCTGCTGCAAAAATCGCCAAATTTCGCAGCAAATATCCCCCTTATAAGATCAAAGGCAGTTTCACCGGTCCACGTGGAGTAAAGCACGCCTATGCGTGGACTTAGCCAATGAGAAAGCGTGTATTTCAGAGCTCGGAACAAGTGCAGGTGGCTACTGAAAATTGAAACAGTTTAGCCAGTGCCGTGTAGCGGTGAATAAACGTGTTTTCTTTAGTCTGTCCGTGTTTTTTCATAGATTTTATTAGTTTGTGTGTTTTTGACTTTTGAATACTCAGTTTACTTGTTGATTTAATTGTTGTGTTGATTGTTCTTGTGTGACCTAAATATGGCTCTTTGGAGACCTTGGGAAAATGCTCCAAGCCACGAGGAGATGGTTGATGAACCTGTGCAGGCAGAATTCTTTCATAAAGATTTAGAGGAACAGACCCAAAGAGTAATCCTAAATATGTATGATTGTCTGAAAAACGAAAATCCAGATTCCTCGCAAAATCAAATTTTAAACAGAATTTGTATCCTGACAAAAATCAGTCGGTCTACCATTTATCGGGTTATAAAAAGGGGAGATGCAGTCAACCATTCCTTCCACAGAAAGCGCATAGGGCAAAAATTAAAAAGAATAGACGTGGGTGTTCAGGAAGATATTCGTCGTATAATATACGGATTTTATAAAGAAAATTTGGTGCCCACGTTGGAAATGATACGGGATAAATTAAAAGATTATCCTGAAGATTTTTATAATTACAAATGCACTGTATTGTAAAACTGTGTGGTTTTCAATACAAAAAATTAGATAAAAGAAGTCGAGGTGATTATGGAGTCGTCGCGAATCGTTGAATTGCGCCAAGAATTTTTGCACAAAGTTAAAATCTATAGAGAGCAGAAAAGAAATCTGATTTACCTGGATGAAACGTGGTATGATACCCATGATGTTGTGCAGTACGGCTGGGTTTACGACAGCAACAAGTGCATTTTAAATGCACCATGCAACCGTGGAAAACGAATCATTATTCTCCATGCTGGCAGTGAAAATGGATTTATACCTAATGCCTTGCTGTTATCTGCCAAAAATATCAAAGAATCATGTGCCGACTATCATGAGGACATGACCTCCGACTTATTTGAAAAGTGGATAGAGCAGCAGTTAATACCAAACATTTCCCCAAATTCAGTGATTATTATGGACAATGCGCCATACC